GCCATTACACATAAAGCTCAACAGCATTTCAAATATTCAAGCATGTAACCATACCCCCATGGGACATGGTGGAACCACAACATGGCTAAACCGAGGACACGAAAGCTTACCTTGCAAGCTAACTATCCAAGCCAAGAGTCCGTACAAGCTCAGGACCCACAAACAGCACAATCACAATCTGTTTATATGAGAAATATCATCAATAACTATACTTTAAAGGTTCGTTTCATTATGACAACATTTCCTTATTCGATTACGTCTTTTCTAGATCATAGTTATCAAGCACTAAGTCCCTTAATTATAGGTATCACTGTTTCCCAACAGTAACACCAACTTCCTAGGCCATCAAGCCAACATGGGAACTGTCCCACGCACAACAAACTGATTTCTGGTCGTTTTCATAGGTGGTAATCGATTACCAAGGGCTGGTAATCGATTACTGCACATGGTAATCGATTACCACCAGCAAGGTAATCGATTACCACACATGGTAACTGATTACCAATCAAAAGTAATCGATAACCACGCGGGCAGAATAACATTATGCAGATTTTTTCTGCATAATTCGAAGCCAAATTGCCACCCTATGACCCAAGGTCCAGTTTTGACCCAAAACAGAAGTTCAATACCACATTTTAGACTTCGATTAACAATCTTAAGCTTGAATGATTAAAGTTAACTCATTTCATAACCAAAAACAAGCCATTGTCAAGGAAATTTAAAGGAAAGTTCAAGGTATACCAATGGAGGTTCAAACTCAGCAAAAAGAAGGCTCTTGGAGCTCTCCAACAAGGCTCAAAGATTCTGACTTTGCAAGAGCACGAAAATACAACACAAGGTTGGACCTTTCTCTTCAAAGATGGCTCCTTGAAGCTCACAATGCCACTTCAATGGCTCAACAACCCCCAACCTCCAAAGTCAGCAACAAACACTCCCCAAACAGAGGTCACAAACTCATAATGATACTCTCCACACCCCTCCAAAGCCAACTCTCACAAGCTAAAAGTGTTTAGGAGAAGAATTTGTGAAGGAAATGGCCCCAAAGCTCAAGAACAAGATGAAGAAGCCATGGAATAGTGTTTAAGAAAACTAGTCAGCCACCCTCCACGTAGAGAATTCTGAATGCCTATGGTTTTGTGCCTTAACAAGCGTATATATAGTCACTTAACCAATTAACACACAGTATTAGCTTTTATTGCTACGCTTAGCATTTTAATCCCAAACTCAGGATTCTTAACCTACTCAATTTTACAAGAATTATCATATTTTTCTTATATTTTTCGGAGCACCTTTCCGGTACGCGCTTTTCATAGCCAGTACCAGTTTCTGGCACAAGTTCTCATTATTTTAACTTGAAACTCGTTTTACAAGTCCTACATATTATTCTAGTAATTATCATGCCCTTATTATAATTTTTTGGGATACTTTTTCGGTACGCATTTATACCGACTAGCAGAACCGGTATTTGCACTTTTCTTCCGAAAAATGACTTTCAGCATTCTTAATCACTTACTATAATTATTAGAGCCTCATAATAATTATTAGGGTCAATTATGGAATTATTTACTAATTTCACATAATTAATTAATTAACTCCCTTAATTAACAGTGCAGGTTCTTATAGCCGCCATATGGAAAGGAAAGTGATGACCCGAAAAAAAATTATGCTTAATAAGAATTATTTTTTATTATATTACTTGTTGTGTTATCAAACGCAATTCTCATTCTCAAAATAAAAATAGAATATGTTATCAAACGCATCTTTTTCTTAGAAATTGTTCCAAGGCACAGAAATAGAAAAGAATTGTTTCTTTTTAGAAACAGTGCTAGGGAACAGAATGGTTGTCATGCACACCCCAATTGGACTAGTATAGCTCAAGTTATGCCTAAAATACAAAACAATATCTTTGCTGTCGAATTTGCTCACTGGCGAGCTAGCAAGGCCAGCGAGGACGTCGTTTTGAAGGCCTATGGATCTCTTTTATTAAAAAAGGAAGTCTAGGACTATTCCCATTCATTCTTGGACAACTTGGGGAGCAAGAACAACAACTTTAGAAGAGAAAAAGGCAGAGGAATGGTCAAGGCTTCACTGTGGAGACCAATTATCTCATTCTTTATGCTTTTCTTAGGATTTCTCTTCTTTTCTATTCTATTCTTATTTCTATGAACATGGTAGGCTAATTATCTTTATGTAATTAGGGTGAGACGGAACCAATGGGTTCCTAAATGATGTTTAATCTTTCTTGTAATTAATGTTCATGTTTCTTAAAGTTAAATGACCTTGAAGGCCGAAGCATATGAGAAGGAAAAACAAAAAATTTCCATGCGGAATCACACATGCAATCAAGACTCATGCTTTAAGACAGCATGATGTTACCTTTGTTTGTGATTTAAACACCAAGGAGATCAGTGTCAGGTTTGAAGGGTTCAAACCCTCTAACGTTGATCCACACCACCCCACGTCAAGATGCAAGAACTCTTCTTGAAAAGCCATCAATTGATCACCACAAAAGCTTGCTAGGCGTCCAATGTGTGAAGGAGGAGGCTAGGTAAAGGTGTTTAGAAGAGTGATTTACAAAAAAAAAAAAAGAAGGTGTTTAGAAGAGTGAAATTTTCAGCTTAAAAATTCACAAAAGTGGCGCATGGATTTGATGATCTATGGCTAGGTTATTTTTCAAAACCTCCTAAGAAAAACCCTAACAAAAGGATGACCAAAGGAGATGAGAGAACTATATAATTGGATTTGATTTTTCTCTAAAAATCTGACCATAAGTAGCGCACAATAGAGAGGAAAAATGGAGTTGTTGCAAAATCAAATCTTGCCAACAACCTCCTATCATATCCTCATGATATCAAGTCAATATCTTAACAAAAATCTGACTTAACAAACATCATATGGCAAGCCATATGGTGCGCCCAATTCAGCCTAAAAAATAGTCCAGATACATTGTGTAGTTGCATTCAAATTTGAACCAACTAGCTCACTGATTCTCTCAACAAACCAAATCTGATTTGGAGCTTATTTGGTTGACAAGATGACACTCACAACAACCAAAGTGGCGCCCCAAATTCAGCCTTGGATGTGATCAAAGATCTCCTCTTGATACTAGAGATTTGTTCCAACAAGATCTTATCTTATCCTTTTGTTATGAAACAACTTTTCATAGCCAATTCAAATTCGAATTCAAACATTTAAATTCTAAATTCAAATTCAAAATTCAAATTTCCAATTTCAAATTTCGAATTCAAAATTCGAATTTCAAAATTCAAATTCAAAATTCGAATTTCAAAATTCAAATTCAAAATTCAAATTTCAAATTCAAAATTCAAAATTCAAAATTTAAATATTTGATAATTAATTTAACTAATTAAATTAATTAGTAATGTCTTGGACCATCCAAGCCCATTACATGATCCATGCGCCCTTTTCCCCTTTAGGTGGGCTTCCAAACTTCTTTTTGGGCTAACAACCATATTAGGCCCAATACCTTTAATGTTATATCATCATGACAATAACGTGTTAGTGTGTGACCCATTAGGCCCAACATAGCCACTGACATAAATGAGTTTGGGCCCAACAAACCCATAACCCATCTAATGACAACACAGAGCACTAGCAATGCTTTGTTGCCCCAGAGCTAGTTTGGTTAATGACATAATCATCCTATTATACATATTTAGTTACCGTATGTATTTCCTTTCATCTTGGTTACCTTCCCATTAAACCTAGGGCAAGGAAACGTATCAACCCTTGCGGTTTAGGGTTCGAAATAGGGAATCTTCAATTTACTGACTCTAAAGGCAGATCATCTCATGATCTCTTTTACTATGCATAGATTTCTGAGTTCTGTAAATGTCATCCCGATTTCTCTAGTTTACAGATAACCTAATCCCTTACAAAGATTTGACGAATTCCTTTAGCTTATCACCCTAGGCCTGTGCTCTTTCAGGACGTGCCCAAAAGTATACCTATGAGTCTCCATGTTTCAGGCAGACAAGGTATACAATCAAAACATGCCTTCTAGAACACAGTCTAGGTGACAACTTATGGTCTAAGGAAAGACATGCCCAAATATTAAGAGACTGCTCTAATGATACTTTTGTAAGATTTCCTCATAGAGTCTCTTTGTGGGTCTGTTCAGTGCGAGCTATACCCTTATAGGTTCACCCACGACTTTAGCTAAGACATCTTCATATATGTAGCTCATGAGGTCTTTACCTTGCATCCAAATACAAGTTGATAAGGCGTGCTAGTCTTACCCGAGATCACTGATCCCCATTCTCAGTGTCTCTAGACTAGGAACATAAAATTAGGAATAAACATCCAGTATCCTTGAATCCTCATGATCGTGATCTCATCACAGATACTCAAGAGATACCTATTTTATTCCAAGGGGTTCATCCAGTTACTCATATAAAATATTAACTATAATATTGAGACAAAATATGAAACAAGATAAAGAGTGCTTTTTATTTATTTGCGACAATATAAAAGGTCCACATATGTCCTAATCTAATCAAAAGATTGTCTCTAGGACATCCATATACTAACAGTTTCAATTATGCAATTAATATGTTTTAAATTCCCAGTCTTGTTTACGATCTGGCCAATATTGAATGGGCATTAGAATCTTGCACGTCAATAGGAATATTGCTTTCTTGATTTTGTTTGGTTAATTGCTAGGGTTTGTATGTTCTAGGAATATGCTTATGAATTCTACGACTTATGATTATTAACCTTAATGTTTGCTGTAGAAAAAGGCTCTAAGGGGTTAGGGCCTTGGAATAAAGTAAAGAAATAAAATCACTAAGGGATTGGGGGTTTAGTTAGTTTAGAAAGAATTTTCGATAATTAATCTTGAATGTTGATTGCATGAAAGGTTTAGTTAGTTAATTTTATTATTACTGTTTTTTTTTTTTGGATATTACACAAAATGTCCAACATAGTGGACTAAAAATGGCTCTTTGCCAACATCGTCATCATCTATATACAGAACTACATAATATCATAACCTAAAGCTATATATGCCTCTCAAAACAATAACAATTATACAAATATATGATCATACATCATACCAAAACAATAAGTACAATCATCATTCTGAAATATCCAGTCATCTCTCTATCATAACTGGGATCTTTGTCCCTACGTTACCCTCTTACCCTGTGAAGGCTCTCCTGTAACCGAAGTACCTGAAAAATATCCCCATAACGCTGGGTGAGAAATAAATCTCGTAAACTTAGTGTTTATGGAGTAGTCTCCACCCGTGAGTTCACTTCCTATATGTAAGGTCAGATACATATAGCATAACATACATCATATAAGCATATTAATTTTATCATGTATCTCAAATATCCAATCACATGTCATCACCTATATGAATGTAATTACACTAAGTATCTAACAAATCCAATATACAAACACACAGATATCGCAAACATGATCCTTTTAGACCATGGTAGAACAACACAGAGGAAAATCCTCATAAACCAAGAGCTTACCTCTTGAAGCTCCTCTAACATTCTTACTTGCAAAATAAGAAACTATGTCAAATCCTCAAAGCTTTGATCAGGAATCATTATACCTCACGATTCACACCTGTTATCCAAATATATATCAGATTTGACTTTCACACATCCAAATGTATCACAAGACTTATAGTTTGTCGATTTCACCTTTCATTCTTGACAATTCATGTCCATACCACAAGTCAGACCTAAAGACTTATTCTTTGACATTTAGTCACATATTGTTAAATCTATAAAAATTAACTCTATCATCATGGTTTAACCACTTACATTTGCCTTAAACACACTTTATATTAATTTCTAGGGTTAATTATGAATTAACTTGATTCCCAACCATATAAATTCATACATGGCTGAACCCTAGCATCTTACATACATATCATTTCCATGTTTTTAATTTATTCATTCATGTTCCATTTATTCATTCATGTTCCATTTAACACTTCATCAATGACTTAACAAAGCAAATCACAAACTAGTCCTTTATTCCTTAATTCATTGACAATTTAATGTCACAACACTTTCAAACATTCAAACACTTGAACTAATCATTTCAATACACTTTATTACATATCAATGACATATAACATCATTCAATATGATTTAAACATCATGGATACCCTATTAACTCAAAATGGCCGAATATATAGATGTAGGATTTAAAGATTTTCTCAACATTCAAAATTTAATCCAATGACTTCAATCTCTTATTTAATCATTGAATTCATGTTTCACATACTCAATTTATCAATCAAAACATAAAAACCTTAATTTACTATTTATGGTGAATTTGTATACATTTTAGGGTTCATGAGTTTTCTTCCAAAATTCCTTTATCTTTTCTTTATTTCAATCATCCATTGACCATTCAATAACCTTAATTTCACTTAAACTTCATGAAAAATACATGAACTTCACATGCTTACACACATACATGGCCGAATTGGCTCATGGAAGAAACAACATCTCACAAGCATTTTCTTGACTTATTATCCATTGATTTAACTTGAAACCAATAACAAAACAACATCCAACATCAAACAACTTCAAACATCTTCATAAAACATACATGAACATTCATGAAATCACAAAGAAAACCTAGATTCACAAATCATTTTCCTACAATTAAAATGACATATAATACCTTAGAAAGCTTCCTTTTGATGATTTAAGTCTTTTCCAATATATAAACCAAGTAAAAGACACTTCAAACACCCTTAGGACAACAACTATGTTGAAGATTAAAGAGAAGATATCTCACTCAAAATAAAGTCTCAAGGTGTATGGTTTTAGGGATTTTGATCATAAGCTCACAAGAAATATTTTTCATGTTGAAAGTTTCTTGAAATAGTGGCTAAATAATCACAAAGTTCTCTTAGGCTCTTCAACTCCATGAAAATCACGGCCAAAGAGAGCAAGAAGAAGAGAAGAAAACGTTAGTTAAAGTAGAGAAAAGAAATGAAGTGAACAACTTAAACTTTTTTTACGACTTAATACTTAAGTTTTCTTAACTTTTTGAATTTAACACCACCAAATGAGTTTCATTGGCTAACAAATCTTTATGTCACTTTTAAATTTCTGCATATGTATATTACACAAGCAAAACTAGCGTGGATTACATAAAAGAAAATGAAAGAAACCGACTTGCACACAAAATATCACCAAAGCCATCATTTTTTACTTTTCCAAAGCATAAAGTAACTTAATTCTTTTTGGTTAAGACTTTAACGTTCAAACAAACTTGCTTGGGCTTACCTAGCATGAAAATGGCGTGGAACATGAATAATATATAAGGAAGAATCAAGTTGTACTCATAAAGAAAATATAGCACACAATTGTTGACTTTTTCAATATTTATATTACTTAATTCTTATTGGTTGTTACTTTATCTTTTTTAACTTGAAACTTTGACCAACCAATCATTGAATCAAGTAATTACACATATGATATAGAAAATAAAGCAATACAATCATCTTTGACCAAGGATTAAACTTAGTTGTCAAGTTTAAGCTTGCTTTAACTTAGTTTTGAATTTTAATTTACTTAATCTTTGACCTAACTCTTTAAATTATTTTATATATCATCTAATTAAATTAAACATACTTTTAGTACTTAGAATTCACCAAATAATTTTACTAGACTGTCAGAACTTAGTTCCTACTTAGTTTGTAAAATTATCAAAATACCTTGTTATCACAAATTTGATTTTCATGTCTCTAAACACAACTTATACTATTGTTAGGCATGAATTGTATCCTCATATTCATTATCATGTCATTTGCACGATTTAACTGTTAGAATCCTCTTAACAATCACAAAATTCACATATTGGCTCACTTATCTCTATTTAACACATCATGAGATTTTGGGTTATTATCATGTCTATCAATTGTTCCTTGCTTATATAGAAAAATTCTTTTGGTAAAAATGACATGTTTTTTTCCTCTTTTCGTGCAACAAAGGCTTTGTAGTGCTCTAAATTTAATTTGTCCACTACGCGTTCCCACAAGAAATGAAAATACCGTAGTTATGCTCTTTGCATTTCCTCTAGTTTTTTGTTGCTATGTGTTCAGTATGAACACCAAATATGGATTATGGGTGAAGTGTATTTGTTCGTTATTAGTGAATGAGTTTGGATCTTCTCTAATAGTACTATTCTTGTATTTATAATGGTCATATCTGTCAGTTATTATTAATTAATGTGGAGCAGTTATCGTAGTGATACGTAACTATCATGGCGGTTGCGTGGGTTGTGGTTTTAGCAATGTAGAGTGGGAAAAAGTTGTGGGTTTAAATGCATGATCTGGGCTCTTGTCTTATAATCCTATCTTCTTAGTTCATGGCTTACGGCCCCTTAATCCAGGCTCATGTTACTTCAGGCATAAATGTATTGGGCCAATGCGGGTTATGGCTTGATGGGCCAATGCGGGTTAATCAACCCGGAACACTACGGTGGATTGGGCCAATAGAGATTAATAAAAGAGTATAGGCCTCCTCTTTCACCTACAAAAGACTAATTGAACGACGTAATGCAACACATCGGCCACTCGGTAGGCTCAATCCTTGTCAATTATTTGTTATGTATGATATTCATAAGTAGACCTCCTGAGATCTTTTCTCTAGCAGTTTACGTAAGAAGATTAACCATCAAACAAAGAAACCACTTGTGATTGATACTAATGAGGAGAAAAAAACTAAGAACTTCAATTTATTTTATTTTTTATTTTACAAATTACCAAACTTTCTCACTAATAATTCACGTTCAAAAACAAAAACTATTTTTTATCATTCACGTAAGTAAAAAAGAAAATCTAAACCCTCAAATATGATGAAAACATATTTTAATTTATAGAAGTAAACGATATCTATAGTGGATATATCCTTTTTCAAAATACGATAACTGTCAAAGGACTTATAGCAATTTTCCAAGTAACTTATTTATTTTAGCATATGTATGGGCTCGCAAGAGAGTACATGCAAAATTACCGATGGAAGTATATATATATACATATTACAATTGCAGAACATCTTATGGCAAAAACATAAAATTAAGGTAGTGTTTGGTTCGGAAGAAATTTTTTTTACTAGGGAAATGTAATTGATAGGAAAATGGTTGGAAAGTGAGTTTGATAGAAAAATGTAAAAAAAGTTGTTTGGTTGACCCAAATATTACCAGGGAAATTTATTTAAATATGTAAAATCTATGTTCGGGAGAAACTTTGCACTTGTTTTTTCACTTCTCCAGTCATCTCACAATACCACATCTCAAGTGGTATTCTGTAACAGTGAATTTCATCCAAAAATCAACACAAAAGTCATTTTCCCATCTATCCTATTTGTCTGGTATTTCTTGAAAAAACCTGAACCAAACGTGGTATTTTCCAATATTCACCTACACTTTCCCATCAATCCTAAAATAAACCTTCAACCAAACACTACCTAAGAGCATTGAGATAGTTAGCTGAATCTGAAACTATTTAAACATTTTTATAAATAGATAATATGTCACATATTTAGGCTGGTAAATCAACAATCAAATGGGGGAAGTATATGACTTTTTTCATCACAGATTAACTTCAAATGTTGAAGAATAAAATATTTTTAATGAATATGGAAATTTTATGTGGGAATAATATTTGATAGCTTTTCCATTGCCACTCATGTTATAAATGAGTGAGTTGTCTTTTGCAAAGTCCTTCTTTTGGAACCCTACTTTTCTCACTCTATTTCTTTCACGATTTATTGGAATTGACCTTTTTTTTTGTAACAAAAAGAGCACAAGCCCAAACAAAAATAAAGAAAACAAAGAAACTATCCAGGAAGAGACACAAATCGTTCCCTTCCCACAGATGCCAGATCCCCTAAATAAATCAGCAAAACACCACTAGGAGACTCCTGAAAATATCTCTGGTTAGTTTGATCAGGAGAATCAAGCAAGAAATTGGCCAGCCAGTCAGCACACATGTTTCCCTCCCTGAAGGTATGTTGAAAAAAAATCCGCCAGTCTTTGTCTAACATTGTTCGTATACGAGAGATAAGATTTCTCTCACAGACTGCTACACCACATTTGGTGAGACCCGTGATTGCTAAAAGTGAATCACTCTCTAAGATGATACTTCTATATCCTCACTCCAAGCCCGTTCTAATCCCTTCAATATACCCCAAAGTTCAGCCTTGAAAGAGGAACAAATGCCTAACCTGAAAGCAAAACCTCCCAGCCATTTACCTTGCGAGTTCCGAATAACACCACCATAAGCTGCCTAACCAGGATTCCCTCTAGAAGCCCCATCAGTATTCACCGTCACAAAACCATATTCTGGAAATTGCCAAGTAACATTCAAACACGCAGAATTTGACTTTGAATGCAAAAACTCAGGCTCTGAATAGCTTTATCAATATCCAGCGCAAGATTATTAATGAAAACTACTTTATTTGCAGTAGATGGTACTTCTTCTCCATGATTAGTCATATTTCTCCAATGCCATATTTTCCAGCAAGCCATCAAGAAAGTTGACAACCAGCCTTGCACCATTGTTGGAGACTGCTCACTGAACAGATTGATATTAATCTACTGGTTCAAATCTGCAAAATAGAAACCAGAAATGGTATGAGAAAATATGAGGCTATCTGTAACACCCTCCCTTGTAGGCCTCCAAGAGAGTTGTTTACTAAGCAAAATTAGAGTTCTTTTGTCATATTTTAAGTACTGAAAAATCATTTTGATGTTGCTAATTAAAACTTGTGATTGGAATCGGGTTACTTACAAAAAAATCAGAGTATACTTTCAAAATTTCTTAACTTGCTGAAAATAGTAATTTCCTGGCAGACGTTGTTGTCTTTAAAAATTCGTATAAAATCAGTTTCGACGATTCAAAAAATTATTTCATATAATATAGAAAGAGCACGTCTGGGGCTTCGCGTGCATATAAAATAATAGTAAATCGGAGTTCGTTTGCCCCTCGTAACATAACTCGCAAAGTGCTCGCAAAACTGTTCGAAAATCAGCACTTAATAAAACGTCAGAAATTATTTTCGCAAACTGTTTGTAGAATTTATCTCCAAAATACTTGCTGATCATAAAAGTCTTAAATCAACAATAAAAGCATAATCCAACAGTTATCCAAATTTCTCAATTTAATACAGTCATCCATCAAATGAAAAGCAACAGCAACAGCCCAAACAGCAACACATAACAGCAAATATCCATATAATCATAACTTCATATGCTCTTTCGTCCTCCTGCCATTTTGTAAAAATAGTAGCCCCAAAGGGGTGAGAAAAATCCCAGTAGTGTGGCGATAAAACCAATAATACAACAATATTAAACTAGGCACAAAATTATAAACAATCACATCAACATTTCATTTTCCGTTAAAATATCATAGTGCGTATATAACGCCATCATTATGCTCCTAACACCTTCGTGCACGTACTAACATTTCATAGTGCGTATATAACGCCATCATTACGCTCATAGCACCGTCGTGCGTGTACATACACAGTGGATATTCCATAATGGCTCCCTCAAAAGTGAATTCCAACTGTGGCCTATGCGGACGGAAGCCAAGTGTCCCATACCCTGGTACCGAAGGGATGCCTATATGATGTGTGCTCATACACATGGTCCTGTATATAACTATTCTAAATTTCAAGGCTAACATGGATCCTGTGCATGCATGCCATGCTATGCTGTCACAAAAAAAACAGAAAAGCAGATGCGGTATGATGTAAAGTGCATGCTTATATCATCATTATCATAACATATACTTCATGTACTTTTTATACCATACTGCCACGCCATCATTTCTTTTCATAACAGAGTTACCATCATAACATTTCCATAGGCAGAATACTTTCCTCATAAATAGCAGGATAATCATTAGGCACATGTGAGCAACAATTCACAACTTCATACACTACTTAATAGTCACATTAGGTAATACCACCAAACACTTACCTTGTGAGTCCAAGTATTAATCAAGCAGCATCAAAACAGCCCACACTTTAGGAATTTTGCGCACCTAATTGAGAGCACCATAAGTCATAATTTTATTCATAAAATCCTATTATTCATATGCCATTTTCATGACTTCCAAATTCGTGTATTTTAACCGGCTTATCATGTTTCTTGTACTATTTAATTTCTGACTCCACATTAATTTAGTAGCATGTAGCAGCGAAGAATTTTATTTACCTAATCCCCTCCACTAATGGCTAACACATAAGAATTTTTCCAAGGTTCACACACCCATAAATTCGATTTTCATAGTTCTCCTAAAGAATTGATTTTCTGACTTAATACCAATTCTTCTAACTTGCTACAGTAATGAAATTCAAGGTTCTCTGGGCATACAAGTTCGGTTTTCTGCCCATTATTAGGTGCCTAACATTGTTTATTTATATCCCATATTCTTCATGACATAGGGAGTGATAAAGGCTTCAACACGCTGCCCATAAAGTTCTTAGTGTATACAAATATTAATGATTTTCCTAGTCCAAGTAATAAGTTCAACACAACAACAACAGAGCTATTTCCATGCTCACAAGAATTTGGTTTTCATTATAAAAAGATGTTTAGGATTTTCATAGTTTCTAAGCCACATTAATGTTCTGACTTAGATTACTACGCCAATTTGTCAATAGTGAGAATTCCAAGTTTCAAGAACAATTCTTTGAGCTTGTATGGGTTATGTCCAAATCGGTCTAAATGAGTAGAAGTAAGAAAATAGGAATGACAACAAGCTAACTTCCTAGGGCATTCTTAGAAACCGAAATAGGGAAAAAGGGAAAAATGACAACTAGCATCCTATTCTTACATGCAACCGTATAGGATAGGAGAACAAAAGAAAAACTTAAGAAATTGATTGTGGTTACCTTTTGTTTATATACCAAGGAATCCCAAACAAATCAAAACAACCCCTTACTTTTTCCTAAGTTCCAAGGGCTTGAATCTGATTGCATGCAAGAGAGAAGGGAAACTCTTCCACGGCTGGTCATGAGTATACAGTGGAATGAAGGAAAAACTAAAGTTTAATTAAGATCAATCACGGAGGGGAACAAAACAGAAGAGGTAGACATCTTACCCCCCTTTGTTTGCTGTTGTGCAGCTGAGAGGAAAAGGAGTGAGTTTAGAATTCTGATTATCCCTCCAATAGCTCCACGGTTTGTAGCAAGGAAAAGAGAGGAGAATATGAACTTTTCTGGATGTTCTCACTCCCCTCAGCTCAGGATTTTGGGAGAAGGAGGGAAATATTATTTGGCTAACTTTGTTCTGTTTTAACAAAATGATTTCTTCAACCCATTACTCTCCACTTTCAGCGCTCGGGGTGATGGAATGAGGGTTAGATGGCTGACTCAAAAGACCTCAACGTTCATGCATCGACTGAAGTAGTCTTGGATGCTAATGCTTGTAACCAGATTGGTGCTCTCTCTCTCCACACTATGCGCACAAGATGATAGGAGGAGATAATAAGGCTGGTCAGATTTTTTAATACAATAACCAATACAAAACAGATTGCTTCTTCTCTTTACACCATACGCAGGGAATGGAGGGATAGGCTGGATAGGTGATTTGCAAGCACTCAACTCCTATGCCAATTGGCATGCATGCAAGGAGTGAAGGTTGATTTAAACTTTGAACTAATGACAAGTGTAACAATCAGATTTCCTAATCTAACTAGGCGCATGGGTATAGGAGATAACAAGAGATAATAGTTTGCCTCTTGTCCAATGACAACTCCTATACTGATTTCTGGAGATTAATCAAAATAAAGTTTATCATGGATCAAGTGTGAGAGAATTTTGGACTGATCTGAACCTTCACACAATGCCCTTGAACCGTAGGCCATGGAAGATCAAGGGTCCAAATTCACTTCCTAATGAGCATCATTTTATGTAATATACTAAAATAGTAAATGGGGTTTAGTATGATGTCAATAGAATAATTCCTAACCCACATCCACATGTAATATTCTACTATTTATTACTTTATGTACCCTCTAGGTTTTAACTAAGATTTTCCTACGTTGTAATTAAATTAATCATATCGTTTTAACTAGAGTTTCGAATTCCTAAAATATATATATACATATATTCACCCATAATTGCAATTAAATAATTTTACTAATTTAAATTAATTCCACCCTAAATTCATATGAAATTCGAATTTAAGTTAGGTGTTTTAAATCCTAATTGCAATTTAAATAAATTCCTGATTATGCAGGGTGTTACACTATCCCACACTCTTCTAGCACCATTGCAGTCCTTTAGTGCATGAACTACCATTTCTATATCAGCATTACACACAGGGAAAGTATTGTCCCCTCCATTCCAACTAGCTATTGTGTTTTTAGTAAGAAAATGATGGTGTAACAGCTTCCAGGAAAAAAATTTAATTTTTTGCGGTCCTTTCCATTCCCACAACCATTTCCACCGTTTCTTAACAATCTCATCTTCCTCTCCAGGAGAAGATAGATAATTATATAGAGCATTAACAGATAAAACATTTGACCCCGACAGACTCCACACCCTTCTATCAATCCCATCTTCTATCTTAGGAGGAGGGATGCCACGAATTATATCAAGAATATTACTTGGAAGCCATGTTCTAAGCTTATCAAAATCCTAGTCACCAGAAGCAGAAACAACCTCGTTAACCTTCATGCTATCTAGCAAATGCCAACTATCATCTGGCAAGTACTCCTCAAGGTTGCAAGAAAAAGGAAGCCATTTGTCCTTCCAGAAACGAATTTCCCTACCATCACCAAGCTCCCAAACCAAATTATCTTCCTTGACATGCCAAATTCTGCAGAGATTACTCCACAAGCTAAAGTCTCCCTTTCGATATTCAAACAGAGAATCCATTCTATTTCCATTCTTATATTTTGCATAAAGAACTTGGACCCAAAGATGATTTGGTTCTGAGAAGACTTTCCAAGCTTTTTTGGCTAAAAAGGCATCATTCATTTGAGTCAATCTCCGCATTCCTTAACCACCAGACAACTTAGGAGAAGTAATGACATTCCAGCTAATGGCATGGTGTCTTCGTACATTATCCTTATCCCCCAGATAAAATTTCTCTGCAATCTTTCAATTTTTTCACAAACCATAAAGGCAGCTTACTACTTTGCATCTGAAAGGAAGGAATAGGAGCCAAGACTGATTGAGATAAAGTGATGCTCCTTTCTTGAGATAAACAATTCTGCTGCCAGCTGCTTAACTTATCTTTAACCTTCTCCACTAGACCATCATACAGGCTTTTAGAAACTCTACCTTGGTGCATCATAGCCCCAAGATATCTTCCCAGATTTTTGACCTTTTAAACCCACTAATTTGAACCACTTTATCCATCACATCCGCCACAGTATTCTTCGAAAAATACACACAAGTTTTATCCATACTAAGTCTCTGGCATGACATATCTTCAAACAGCTTAAGGTATTTCATCAGAGTAGCGATCTGATCTTCTTTTGCCTCCATAAACATCATAAGATCATCTGCAAAAGCTAAATGCAAAATCATTGGACCACCCTTACCAGCATACATTGGTTTCCATAAGCCTCCATTGACAGCAGTAGTGATAATATGCGAAAGTTTTTTTATTGCCAAGACAAACAGATACGGAGAGAGTGGATCACCTTGACGAAGACCCCTTGATGGGCAGAAATCCTCTGCTTTCCCCCATTCCAAATAACATTAATACAGGTAGAAGACAAGTAGTGCATTATGATATTAATGAAAGCGGTAGGGAAATGAATCTCTTCCAAAATATTACGCATAAATTGCCAGCTCACTCTATCATAGGCTTTAACAAGATCAATTTTAATAGCCATAAAAGCCTTTTTACCTCTCATTTTGCTCATGAAATGAGTAAGCTTTAGAACAATGGTGATATTGTCTTGAATTTTTCTATTCGGTACAAAGCTGACCTGGAAAGGAGAAATAATTTTCTCCATCAAATGCTTGAGCCTGCTAACAATGATTTTAGTAAACAGCTTATAGATGACTGAGCATAATGATATTGGCCGAAACTGAACAATGGACTCAAGTTTCTTTGTTTTAGGAATTAGAACCGGCAAAGTTGAGTTAACATTCCCTATTGATCCCGGATTTGTCCACATTCTTTTAATAGCACTACAAATTTTTTGCCTTTAACCTATTCCACTGTCTTTGAAAGAAAATGGCTGGGTAACCATCAATATCAGGGGCTTTATAAGCACCCATCGAGAAAATATTCTGTCTGATCTCATAATCATTAGAAATGGCCCCCAAAGCTTGAAGATTCTGTTGAGACAATTTAGGCCACATGCTCTCCGAATCTAACCATCTGCAATCAGAGTCTTCCTCCGAGAAAAGCTCTTTAAAGAAGCTACAACATGTTATTTTAAATGAAGAGGGTCTTCAATCCATGTATTCATATTGTTACACAGTCTAGAAATTCTAATATGCACCCTTCGAGTCACAGTTTTAAGGTGATAAAACCTCGTATTCTTATCTCCATCAACTATCCATTTATGTCTAGATTTTTGAAACCATGTTTGTTCCTCCTAATCCAGAGTTATGTTCAGAAGATTCTGCAGATGCTCCTTAATTTCTTGCAACCTATGACAGTCCATTGACTCCCTTTGATCCTGGACATCAGCAATTTTTTTTTGTCAAAACCCCCTTCCTGTTATTAATATCTCCAAACACTTCTCTGTTCCACTTCTTCAAATGAGGGGTGAATCTAGATAACATACTATTAACATCTGAATTATCTCTCCATCTATCCATCATCAGATCCTCAAAGTTTGGGTGATCCATCCAGGTTGCCAAAAATCTGAATGGTCTATCAATCCAATTATGCTGTCGTTTTGTCAACGAAAGAAGAATAGGATTGTGATCAGATAGGAATCTAGGAAGAGCTTGAACCTCAGCATCTTCAAAGGAAATTCTCCAATTCACATTAGCACAGACTCTGTCCAACTTGTTAAAAACTCTGTCTAAATGATTCCATTTGGGGCCCTGCCACGTGAATTTATTCCCCATACCACCAACATCCTCTATATTACAGCTGCCCAAGAAGTCTTGAAATCTACGACATTTAGCAATATCAGGTGGAGAACCTCCTTTTTTCTCACTACTACACCTAATATCAATGAAATCCCCTGCCAAGATCCAAGGCTCAATAATGGAACGGCTCATTTGAATAACTTCCTCCCACATAGCATTTCTTATATCCTCATTAGGATTGGCATAAACAACAGTGCATAAGAAACTGTAGCAGTCACCAATAGACACCTTCATATGAATAAATTGCCTAGATTGCCCTATGAGTTGAACTCTAACTTTCTTAGAATCCCATAACACCCAAATTCCTCCAGAAAAACCAATTGCTTCTTCCACAGTAGCCTTATCAAATCCTATTCGACTCATCAATTTGCTATTGATTTCTCTCCTTGTTCTAGTTTCCATGAGAACAACAATACACAGATCATTTTTATCTACCAATTGTTTAAGGGTGTGTCCTAATTTAGACTTAATTGCCCCTCTACAATTCCAAAATAACAAAGACATTAAAAAGATTGAGATGATTGGGCATGCAAAGAATACCCATGTTTCTTCTTAATCTCTGGATTATTATCCATTCTAACTCGATTCAAGGCACTCACCTTTTGATGACCATCTAATACCTTTCCACTAGCTAAACGGGCATCAGGAGGTTTTGGTGCAGACATTTTAGAAAAATCAATCCTCTTATGTCCCTTTTGAGAAGAGTAGGACATATTCAAAGAAAATGATTTGTTTTGGATTGAAGGGACCTCACCTTGGCTTCCTTTAGTAGCTCCTTGGACTCCAGCTGAAGAATCTTTCTCCAGGTTTAACTGCCCATCAACTATCATCTGGCTGATTTGGTCCTCCTCTTGAATCTTGTTCACATCTTCTGTTGGTTTATCAACAATCATATTATTCCTCACATCAGCTCCGTTAACCTCTTCATACTCGTCCCCTACTACCATAAAAGTAGAGGAGGTTTCAATAACTTTGATTGGAGATTTCCCTCTTTTTCTAACTCCTTTCACTGCTTCCACCTCCATCTTCGACTGATACTCTCCCACTTCCTGATGTTCCACTTCATGATCTTCCAGCTCTTTTTGAATCTGATCATTTTCCACATTTTCCTTTTCTTGCCACAGAATACTGAATCTTGATACACTACCATCCCTGTTTGTTAGAGTTCATATTAGAAAAATTTGCCTTCGGCCTCTAAGAAAATCCACTTTTATTATTTTTCCTTTGTTTATTCACCAGCATCCATGGTCTTAATCTAATTTCTTTCTTTGTATCATTGTCTTCTTGGCCCCGTTCCATGTTTGGCTCCGCGAGTACATGAACAGAAGAATTAGCCTTCACATTACAATTTTCTGTGCGATGACTATACACTCCACACCCATAACATATCAAATGCAGTCCCTCGTATTCAAATTTTTCCAGTCTCCCCTCTATTTTGTATTCTACTTGAAGCGGTTTACTCAGGTCCAGTTCCACACATATTGTCGCGAATTTCCCTCTAGCCAAACAATTTGTGGCAACATCCATCTTTATGAATTTACCTAGCCAATTACCTACCTCCTTGAGCAAATCTGTGTTCACATACTCTACTGGAAAACTAGGAAGTCTGACCCAAGCCATGATTCTACCAATAGAGCTTGAATAGGGATTAAAATCAGGTTCCCATGACTTGATAGACAGGTAATGATCAAACAAAACCCACGGGCCTGCCGTGAGGGCAAAATCCATATTTTTATGAATAGAAAACCTCACAAGAAAAAATCCGTTCTCCACATCAGTAACAAAAATTTGCCCCTCTCGTGCCCACATATTTTGAAGCCTCTTCTTTATAACAGGAAGATCCAATTTTTTCCCTAATAGCTTCACAAAAATCACCTTCCTCCATGGTCTCCATGCTTTCTTTTTAAAAGCATTTGACAATTTAAAATTAGCCATACCTTCCTCATCAGTTTCACACTGGACTTCTGAAGGCTTTTCCGTTTCGGTTTGCGCATCCTGGAAATGCTCCTCCTCTTGCTCAGAGCCTTCCTCTTTGTCTGCCTCATGCATCTCCCATTTACCGTTATGTCGCATTAGCATTTCTTTAAAAGACATCTTCTCCCCCATCCACTCTTCCTCTCTTTGAACCAAAGAATGATCATTACTGAAAACATCATCTCCTGACTTTGGCTTCTTTTTACTCCGTTGCAGGTTATCTGCTTCTTCTTTGGACAGCTCCGTCGGTGTTTCCGACAGGGTTACGGCGCTAGGGTTTTCTCTCATATCTTTAATAATAATAATAATATTATTATTACTACACCCACATTGACCTTAGGTTGACAAGTATACAGGTGAACATCATACTAGTTTTAATTCAAATACGAATTATTACAGAAGTGCCAAAATAATTATCTCCATGGGTAATTTAGGGTATGGCTTCTAGCTCGGTAATCCTTTGATTACAATATGAAAGAAAAAATCAAGAAAAAAAATTCCAAGAGGAGGAAATGAAATTTAAAGAATCTCGTGTGCATTATTCGATCCATTGACTATTGTAAAGAACTATTTTAACCCAAAAGTTTAAGTTATTTGGTGAGACTATATTAATTATTTTATATTTTTCTAACACACTCCCTCACACGAGAGCTCATTGAGTTTAAAAGGTGGACAATACATAAGCCCATCTACCTATGCTAAAAAATTCCACAAGAAAAAGTGTGGGGCAGTTAGGATTGAACTCGTGACACTGACGCTCTGATACCGTATAAAGAATTATTTCAACCCAAAAACTTAAATTAGATTGTTTTATATTTCTCTAACAGCTATGCTTATCAAACAACATACAATGCAAACTTGTTTACGTTATGAAACAACTACCAGGCAATAGTCAAAATTAAAAGTAAGTTGGGATATTAGTGAGTGTTATGCAAAGAAAAAAGAGAAAAGAATCACATCACTTAATAATTCTAAAAAAGGATCACCATGAATTTTAAAGATTGTCCCTTGAAAATATATCAAAACTCAATATCACTGTAATACAAAATGAAACAATTCAATATCATCTCTGAATTCTTCTTAGGAGCAATGGGAAATAAGTAAATCTTAACATGATGTTTGAGTCCACACTAAATTGAGTATCATAATGTCTTACTAACACCCCACCCGCCCCCGCCCCCTTCGCTCAATCATGGAGGAACACCACTGAATGAAACACTTCCAAAGGAGCCTTCTAAGTTGTAAAGTCCAAACACTCACTGAATCATCTTTAACTGTGTGATTGATCGAGATATTTTCACCTAATCGCTATTTAAATCATTCAAATATTTTTACAAATTAACTGTGTGATTGATCGAGATATTTTCACCTAATCGCTATTTAAATCATTCAAATATTTTTACAAATTGGTAATATGTCAACATGAATCAAGAATCAAAGGGGAAAAAAATAGAACTTTTCATTGCATTGAAGAATGCAGTATTTCCAAGGCATTACAAAAATTAAGAGGGAACATCATCAATCACACTCTAAGTGAGTCAACTAAACATAACTTCTTAATTATAGGTATTCCATTACCAAAAATAAAAAGAAACCTTATATTCGGAGATATAAGGGTAAATCCAATGCAACGACCCAAGAAACTCATCCAATCATCAAATAAGTACCAGAACAATTACCTGTAATAGAAATATAGGGTGTGTCTTCCAGCTCTAAACCCTTTTAATTGCACCATGAAAGGGAAAAAAAAGTTGTGAGAAAAGGAAAGAAAATTGGGGTATCCCACTGTTATGCAAACGGAAAAAGAGTGAAAATGGAATCCTTGTAAGCATTCAAAATGGAATCAATTTTGTCCAATAAGTCTTTGCAATGTGTCATATAAGATCATAATAAAATTGATCACCAGTCGCCTGAAGAATCATATGCAGAACTGGATTTCTCCAAACCAATGTAACTTTGTGGTTGGGAGGAATGTGAAAGATAATGTTGTTATTGCTCAAGAGGTCATCCACTCAATGAATACCAAGAAAGGGAAGAAGGGTTGGATGGCCATAAAGCTTGACCTTGAGAAGGCCTACGATAGGTTAGAGTGGAGCTTTATTCATGACACACTGGTAGAAATTGGGCTACTAGGGAACCTGATTCAGCTCATAGACTGGTGCATCAAGTCCTCAACCATGAACATTCTGTGGAATGGCAAGACAACGCAAGATTTTATATTTGAGAAATATTTTTTTTATACACACAAATAGAAGGTTGTTCCCATCATTTTTTTTCCTCGTGTGTGAGTTGCACTTTTAGAGGTTGTTTGTTTCAGCTTTTAGAAAAAGTAACTTTTATCACTTCATTATTTTAAAAGTAATTTTTATAAAAGTTAAAGCTATTTATATTTTTATAAAAATATTTAGTTTTTGAAAAAAATATTTAGTTTTTGACTTCTGCTTTTTTTAGAAGTTAAAATTTTCATGTTCTGAAAAAAATAGATTTTTGAATTTTTTTGTGACTTTTTTTTTTTAAAAAACAGACATCCGAACGAACTAAAAATGAGAAGTATTTTTTTTTTTTTGAAAAAAAAGCAGCTTGAAGAAAAAAAAAGTAATCCAAACTGGCCTTAATTTTATTTCTACAGGGTAACTATTTTCCACTAAAATTAGTTTTGTACACACTTGGATCATAAATCATATTAAAAATTCAATAATTCTTCTTTATTCTTACGAGCGAAGGGGAAATAAGTAAAACCCAAACAGCAGTCACCGCTCGCTTGAACTTTCCAATGGCACGCGGAAGGAAGAAGGGGCAACGGAACACAGTGAGAGAGGAACCCATTCCTCTGGACGCAAACGCTACTCATCAAGAAACACAACACGGTGATGGAGGCGCCTCCAAAATGGTGAAAATCGATGAAAATGCTGAGTTCTTGAACCGTGAAGGTTCTGGTAAAGCGGAAAAAGAAGGTTCTTCTTCTTCTTCTCGTCAAGTTATTGTGAGAAAGAAGCGCGGATGAAAGAGTAAAGCGAAGAAAGAAGAAGAAGAACTTGTAAGTGCAAATAAGAGAGGTAAGAAAAATGATTCTTCTGGAAGCGAAGGCATTCAGAAACATTATGCTTTTAGGGACAGTACAGACAACACCAAAAGGGAGATTATGCCAAAAATCAACAAAGACCGTAAAGTAACATCAACATCTCTTTGCTCATTCATTATTCTTTCATGTTTTTGGTGTCACAATATGAATTGTGGTTTTTTTTTTTTCCTGTTTCTCTTTCTTAATGAACAGTGGATCGAAGAGGAGTCCTTAATGTGCCATCAATGTCAGAGAAATGATAAAGGCGGGGTTGTGAGGTGCAAATGTTGTAAGACTAAAAGATATTGCATACCCTGTTTAAATAAATGGTATTACTTACTTTCACTCTCTTTCGCTTTGTTCAATTTTTGTCGTTGTATGTTTGTTATCGTGTTTTTCAATATGCCTTGTTCACCTCCATGTACATACTGCACAACCAGCTACAAAATACATGGAAGGAATTCAATTGAAATATATTTAACTTTAATATATTTTTGTTTTAAACAGATTATTGGAAGGAATTGAAATGACAAACCCATGTATGAATGCAGCCTTCTTTTGGTTACCAAAACTTTGAATAATTTGTGTGGGGAGTTTGAAGAAGTTAAATATGATATAATTATCTGCTACTATTTCTTATGTTAGGAAAAAAAAGTCACAATTTAGAGAAAACATTGAAGATCAATGTCCTGAAAAGTTATTGCAAAGATTACAAATTTAGATTTTGGTTGATGAAAGCTTGACCGATATTGTCAGTCCTTGATATTTTTGCTGTGCCTTGTGAAGGTATCCTCACTTGAAAGAGGATGATATTGCTGAGAAATGTCCTGTCTGCTGGGGTAATTGTAATTGCAAAGCATGCTTGCGATCCAAGGAACTTATTAAAGTCAGTTCTGTGCCCCCTTCTAGATTAAAAAAGTGAAAAAAAATTAAAAAAAATCCTTTTAAACAATGCAACTTATTAATTCGGAAGGAAGAGGGAAATAAGTAAACCCTAACAGCAATCACCGCTCTCTTGAACTCTCTCCATGGCACGCGGAGGGAACACAGTGACTGAGGAACCCATTCCTCTTGATGCAAACGCAACTCATCAAGAAGCACAACACGGTGATGAAGGCGCCGCCGAAATGGTGAAAATCGATGAAAATGCTGAGTTCTTGAACAGTTAAGGTTCTGCTAAAGCGGTGAAAGAAGGTTCTTCTTCTTCTTCTTCTCGTCAAGTTGTTGTGAAAAAGAAGCGAGGAAGGAAGAAAGGGCAACGGAACAAAGTGAGAGAGGAAGCCATTCCTCTGGACGCAAACGCAACTCATCAAGAAACACAACACGGTGATGGAGGCGCCTCCAAAATGGTGAAAATCGATGAAATTGCTGAGTTCTTGAACGGTGAAGGTTCTGCTAAAGCGGAGAAAGAAGGTTCTTCTTCTTCTTCTGGTCAAGTTGTTGTGAGAAAGAAGCGCGGAAGAAAGAGTAAAGCGAAGAAAGAAGAAGAAGAAGAACTTGTAAGTGGAAATAAGAGAGGTAAGAAAAATGATTCTTCTGTAAGCGAAGACGTTCAGAATCATTATGCTTTTAGGGACCGTAAAGACAACAACAAAAGGGAGATTATGCCAAAAATCAACAAAGACCGTAAAGTAACATCAACATCTCTTTGCTCATTCATTATTCTTTCATGTTTGAGTTTGGTGTCACAATATGAATTGTGGTTATTATTTTTTTCTTCTTCCTGTTTCTGTTTCGTAATGAACAGTGGATCGAAGAGGAGTCCTTAATGTGCCATCAATGTCAGAGAAATGATAAAGGCAGGGTTGTGAGGTGCAAAAGTTGTAAGAGTAAAAGATATTGCATACCCTGTTTAAATAATTGGTATTACTTACTTTCACTCTCTTTCGCTTTGTTCATTTTTTTGTCGTTGTATGTTGTTAGTTATTGTGTTTTTCAATATGCCTTGTTCGCCTCCATGTCCATTGTGCACTGCCAGGTACAAATCCATTGAAGGAATTGAATTGAGATATATTTAACTTTATTATATAATTTTTTTAAATAGATTATTGGAAGGAAATGAAATGACAAACCCATGTGTGAATGCAGCCTTCTTTTGGTTACCCAAACTTCGAATCATTTGTGTGGGGAGTTTGAAGAAATTAAATATGATATAATTATCTGCTACTATTTCTTATATTAGGAAAATAAAGTCATAATTTAGAGGAAACATTACAATATCAATTTC